TTCACTAACTGCACTTAGGAATCTCTTTGGCTTGATTTTAAAAGGATAAAACCTAGGGGCTGGAGTGATGGCTTAGCAGTTAAGAGCACTGGCTGCTCTTCCAGAAGACCAGGGTTCAGTTCCCAGCACCCACATGGCAGCTAGCAACCAGCTGTAACTCCACTTCCAAGGGACCTGATGCCCTCTTTTGGCCTTCACAGGCATTGCATACACATGATGCACTTGTAGGCAAAACACTCATACACCTAAAGATAAATTTTTTAAAAATTAAATAAAATGTACATCTAGCAAAAAAATTATTAAAAATGGACTACAACAGAGCAAATAAACATGCAAATATGTAGATCTGTTTGTTGTTTGTGACGGGGTTTTGCTATATATCCTGGCTGGCCTGGAACTCAGTATGTAGAATAGGTTGGTCTTAAACTTGAGGCAATCCTCCTGCTTCTGTCTTCTGAGTACTGAATTACAGGTAGGTATGCACCACTGTGCCCACTTAAGCTATAAGTTTTAACGGGCAATTTCCTAATAGAGTCTCAGAAAATCTGAAGCGAGTAGTGTCACTGAAAAACTCACTGCCAACTACATTGAAATCAAAGCTAGGAAAAACTCACTGAGCTCTACACACGATTTGAACATAAACATCAGCTCCCAATACTAATACAACATCTCACCAAGGGAGCTCATCTAAATACAATAAAGCAGAAATTATTGAGATGCATTACAATTTCTAACTTGTGGTTACATTCACTCGCAGGCAGCATGTTACAGTGGGAAAATCCCTAAGTTTCAAGCCAGGCAACGCAGGTGCAAGGCTTGGCTAGACATTCTTGGGCAAGTCACTTAGCCTTTTTAAGCCTCAACTGTCTCTAAACACAAAACAAAATAAACAATAACACAAGCACCTACTATCCCACAAGATTGGGAAACTCCTAAAGGAGACAAATCAAAAAGCAAACAGTGTAAATGTGAGCTATTAATATGTAATAATTATAACTTCCATAAATGTTTAAGTCTGTAATTTATAACAAGTTATGAATGGAAACATGAACATTAACTAAGATCTATAAGATGTAATAACAATCTTATTTGATACTCTAATAGTAATACTAACTCAAGAACATTCAACAATGAGGAACTATGGCAAAGGAAGCATTCATCTAAAATAATTATAATTTCTGAGTAATTAATTGAATCAAGCATTAACTATCTAGAGATAAGGATTTTTGTTTTTCGTTTTTTTTTTTTTTTGAGTGTGTGTGTGTGTGTGTATGTGTATGGGTGTATGGTATGTTTGTAGGTGATGCATGCACATGAATGTATGAGAAAGTCCATTAATGTGGACATGCAGAAGCCAGAGCAAAATACTGGGTGTCTTCCCCTATGGCTCTTTGTCTTGTTTTGAGACGGGGTCTCCCACTAAACTAGAAGCTAAACATTTTAGTTAAGATGGATGCCAGCAAGTTCCCAGGATCTACCTGTCCTACCTCCAGTGCTGATTTATAAGCATACAAAGCCGAGCTTTTTCCAATTCAAACTCGGGTCCACATGCTGCACAGTAAAGTAGTCTTACCCCGAGCCATCGTCCCAGTCCTGATGATAACAGGACTGGTGGGAGGCTGAAGATAAATTCAGCAGTGGCTAGCATGTTTAAGACTCTGGGTTCAATCCCCAGAAACACAAAAATAAATAAATAAATAAATAAATAAGATCTGGTGGATATGGGTTGTTGTTTTTTTTTAATTTAAATTTTTAAATTTTTTTTAATGTGTACGAGTGTATTGCCTGCATGTATGTGAGTACACCCGTGTTGTGCAATGCTGCGGAGGTAAAAGAGGGCTTCAGATTCCCCTGGAACTGGAGTTAAGTACAGTTCATAGCCGCCATGTGGGTGCTGGGACTCGAACCCAGGTCCTCTGCAAGAGCTCTTAACCGCTGAGGCATCTCTCTAGCCCTGTAGCCCCAGCTGTCCTGGAATTCACCATGTAGACCACACTAGCCTTGAACTCACAGAGATCCACCTGCCTCTGCCTCCTGAGTGCTGGGATTAAAGGTGTGCACTACCAGGCCTTCTAAATTAAAATTATGTTAACATCAAGTAAACTGGAAAAAAAAAAGAAAAAAAGACCTGGTAAGAAATAACTTAAGCACATGGATTTAAGAAACCACTTAAGGAAAAATAAAACATGTCTTAATGCTTTCTTTATCATGTAAAGAAAGGGTATTTTCTCCTTTTGGAGTAATTTCTCCTAAAGTAAGAAATTGTTAGTTTAAGGCTGGAAAGATGGCTCTGTGGGAAAAGGTGCTTTCTGCCAAGCCTAACTACCTGAGTCTGATTCCCAGAACCCACATGTAGAGAGAATCAAGCCTGAAAGCTGTCATCTGACCTGCACACAGGCGCCATGGTATACACAACATACACAACACACACACACTAAATAAAATAAATGTAAATAATTTTCTAAATAAAAAGAAAAACAGAAAAAAAAAGCTAGCTTACAAAGGAATAGGGAATTTTTCTTTCCTGACAAATAAGTAAGAAAATAGAAGGTTGGAGTTGGAGAGATGGCTCAACGGTTAAGAGCACTGACTGCTCTTGCAGAGGACCCGGGTTCAATTCCCAGCACCCAAATGGTGGCTAACAAGCGGCCATAACTCCAGTGGATCCAACACCCTCTTCTGACCTCTGTAGGCATTGCATGATACGGGTGCACTTATACACATGTAGGCAATAAACTCAAACATATAAAAATAATAAAATATTTTTTTTAAAAAAGAAAATAGAAAATAAAAGATAAATTAGGTGTGTGGTGCCACACACCTTTAATACGAGCACTCAGGAGGCAGAGGCAAGTGAATCTCTTTGAGTTTGAGCACAACCTGTTCTACATAGTAAGTTCCAAGCCAGCTGGGGTTACCCAGTGAGACCTGACTTGAAAGAAATAAAGAAAGAAAGGAAGGGAGGGAGGGAGGGAAGAGAAAAGAAAGAAAAGGAGAGAAAGAAAGAACAAAAGAGACAGAAAGAAAGGAAGAAAGGAAGAAAGGAAGGAGGGAGGGAGGGAGAGGGAGGGGCTAGGGGAAGAATAAAGTTAAAAATTATAATTACAATTCAGTATAGTTTAAGTTCTTAATATGAATCTGCTGAAATAGTGAAATAAAACAACCTAAAATTTAAAAAGCAAAAAGTTACTAAACAATCAAAACTGCATCTAGCTTTCTTTATAGTTAATGTATAAATATGTGTTGTCGGATGGGCGTGGTGGTGCATGCCTTTAATCCCAGCACTCAGGAGGCAGAGGCAGGTGGATCTGTGAGTTCAAGGCCAGCCTGGTCTACATAGTGAGTTCCAGGACAGCTGGGGCTACAGGGACACCCTGTCTCAAAAATACCAAAAAACAAAACAACAAAAAAATATGTGTTGTAGGGAGAGCAGCAGCTGTATTAACATGTCAGTGTCTTCTACTTTGAGGATCTGGCTGTTGCCATATAGTGCACAGAACACATTTCCTTCTCAAATCTGTGGACACGGAAATGGCTTAAATTTTCCCAATGACCTTAAAAATATCTATTTTAATTAACTTTGTTAATAACTATAGTTTACAGCGTCAAAATGAATATTGTATTGATACAATCAACTGCTATCAGTGGTCTAAACCAGTAAAATCCTTTTGGAAAGCAATTCATCAATGTGATATAAGTAATCAAATTATATAAGTCTTTTTGGGCCAATAGTCTGCTAATAGATAAAGGAAAAATTGTGAAGTCTATTTCAGAATCAACTAAAGCAATTATAAACTAGAAACAAAAACGAAATGATTAACAAAACATGCATGTTAGATGCTAAGAGCTGGCATCGTGGCAGAGGCTTGTAAACCAAGCACTTAGAAGGCAGAAGGAAAAGGAGAAGGAATTCAAGGTTATCCTTAGCTACACAGAAAGTTCCAGGCTAGCCTGAGTTACATGAGACCCTGCCTCAAAAAATTCCTTAAAGGGCTGGGGAAATGGTTCAGTCAGCAAAATGCTCACTGTGGAAGCATGAGGACCGGAGTTTGATCCCCAGAGCCCATGTAAAATACATGGTGGCTTGTAATCCCAGCACTGGGGAGACAGAGACAGGAAGATCCCTGAGGCTCACTAATCAGCTAGTCTAGCCTAACAGGACACCTCCAAGCCAAAGAGAGGCTCTGTCTCAAAGGAAATGGACAACGGTCCTGAGGGTAACACCCAAGACTGACCTCTGGCCTACATACAGATACACATAGACACACAGATACACAGACATAGGCACACACACACACACACACACACACACACTCACATACACACCCTCCATACAGAAGCATTTAGAAAACAGGCTAAATAAAAAAACATTCTGAATGTGAAACAGGTATGTTTACTGTGAGTTTTGACATAAGAAGATACAAACATGTACAAAATGGATGATAATGTCAAAATACCAAACAAATTTATAGTTTTTTTCAAACTTGTTAAAATGATTTACTTATATGACTCTTTCTAGTAAGAGACAAAAATAGCTGTAGCACTTTATATAGACAATTAGCAACTTTTTAAAAAGTCATTATCCTATTAAAATCCAATCATGGTTGCCAAGCATGGTGGCGCACACCTTTAATCCCAGCACTCAGGAGGCAGAGGCAGGCAGATCTCTGTGAGTTCAAGGCCAGCCTGGTCTACATAGTGAGTTCCAGGACAGCTGGGGCTACAGGGAAACCCTGTCTCAAAAAGACTGGGAAAAAAAAAAAAAAAAAAATCCCAATCATGGGCAGGCAAGTTGGCAGATGGAGGTTCTTGCTGTCAAACCCAACAACCTGAGCTCAACCCCCAAAATCCATGTGATGGAAAGAAAGAACCAATTCCCAAAAGCTGTCCTCTGACCTCCACACATGTATGCACCATGGCACTCATGCACAAACTCACACACACACACAAATAAATGTTAAAAAAGATATCCACAACCATTAAAAGGAACAGATCAGTAGATCCATTTTCCTTTTCCTGAACAATCAAAGAGTAACTTACTTAGAAAGAATTCCTCAAAGTCAGTTTTCTCCACACAGCTTGTATACATGCGTAGGGCTGCAATTTTAATCTTCTAGACAAAGAGAAAAAAAAAAACAAACTCAAGACATGACCAGGTAGACATTTGAGTGTCATAAAACAGATCTTATTTTTTTTAACTAGGAGGTAGTTAAAAAACTGCCTGCCGGTAGGCAATTATTTACTTATTCATTTTTGAGACAAGGTCTCATGTAGCCCATGTTGACCTGGAACTTGTTCTGCAGCTCAGCTGGTCTCAAACTCTAGATCTTGTTTCCCCACCTCTCCAGTGCTGAGACTACAGGCCTGTGCCATCATGTTTAGCTTTCTAGACAATTTAAAGAAATATTGATGATTTTGTCTTTTCTTAAATTTAGTCATTCTTACAGACTATATATACAATGTTCACATTTAATGATTTCAGCATGAAAAGGCAAAAAAGGTTTTTCCAAAATTTAAATGAAATCTTCCCTTTCATTTCAACTCAGCTCATCACATTTGAGCCTCTAAACTACTATTTAGCACTATCATAGTAACTGTTTATAGTCTGAAATCTTTTATATTAAAAAAAAAATTACTCATTCTTGGGCCAGCAAGATGGTTCAATGGGTAAAGATGCTTGCTGCCAAACTGATGACCTGAGTTTGAACCTCAGAACCCACATGTTGGCAGAAGGAAAAAACCAACTCCCAAAAATTGTTCTCTGACTTCCACATGTATGCCATGATGCACACATATTCACATACAAACACACATTTAAAAAATGACAATTAAAAAAAATTCTTCATTTTTCATACCAAAATTAAACAAAAACCTGAAAGCTAGGGATGGAGAGAAGGCTCAGAGGTTAAGAGCACTTGGTGCTCTTCTAGAGGACCCAAGTTTAGTTCCCAGCACCCATGTCAGGTGGTTCACAACTGCCTATAACTCCAGTTCCAGGGGATCTGATGCCCTCTTCTGGCACAAAGGCTGCATACACTCACATAGACATACATACATACGCAAAGTTTAAAACTAAAGATTTTAAACTTTAAAAATAAATAAAATCCGGTTGGGCATGGTGGCACACATGTTTAGTCTCAGCGTAGAGGCAGAGGCAGACAGAGCTCTGTGAGCTCAAGGCCAGCCTGTCTACATAACGAGTTCTAGGCTGTCTGGGGCTACAGGGACACCCTGTCACAAAAAGACCAAAAATAAATAAATAAATAAAATCTGAAAGCCTTTCATCTTTCCTCTACTAATTAGTTTATGAACATTGGGGGCTGGGAATAGGCACATGTCTTTTTTGCAGATTCACAGAACCTATATGCATAAATAAAAATTTCTAATAATAAAAAATACTTATTACAATTCCCTAAAGTACTAAGCATGAAGTATATAAAATACACATGCACACATACACACACACAAAAGAAATTTCTTAGGGTTTTGATATGAGTGGTGGTTTTAATTGATGATTCACTAAGCTGTATCCTTAACAATTGTGTATATCACTGTATGTAAATTATACCTTAATATAACAAACTGAAAAAATTTAAAAAAAATCTTTAAGAATTCTGAAGAGGTGAGTAATAAGTATTTTTTAT